CGTGTATATTCAACACAGTTTCTACAATATCTTGTCACTAATGTTTCAAAAATCTACGATTCGTTAACCATTTTCCATATTACAGAGTAATATACAATATACGCAGTATATTGGTATCACAAACAATGGTTGAACGGAAACTACCTGATTCTAGAAACAACCGAGAAATCTAGAGTCCATTCCTAAGGGTGAGATTTCTCCGCGTCGCAGTCATACTTCTTGATTCACCAAAACAAAAAAAAAAAGACTCCAGGCGAGAATAAGAGAAGGGCGCAAGAATAAGAAATTATGGATGCAAAGGGGGAAGGAAAGATCGACGTAGAGAGAGGGAGAAACATACAAGACGAAGGTAACGTAGCAAATCGCGAGACGGAAGCGACGAAGGTAGAAAGAAGGAGTGCTGCGGATACTGGGTGCAGAGAACGAGAAGGGACAAGCGAGAATAGAGTGGAATAAGAGAAACGGTCGTAGAGAAAAGGGAGAATTGTCTACGACTTGCGACGCCATTCCGGGACACCATTAGCACGCGAGCAATCGTGTATTCACCCGTATGTATGTGTGCAAATGCATGCGCGGATGCGCGAAAGAAGACGGAACGTGCGAAACCATTCTTTGCACGTGCATCTCTGGAATCTTGGGAGAAATTTAATTCCTTCGTGCCGGCCCAAAGGATACAGCCAGCACGAAGTGTGTTGTATCACTCGAGACAAAGAAACTCTCTTGTGAGGTTTCCTGAAACATTTCACTTAAATGGCGAGATCCTTGGATCGAGTGACGAGGTTTTGAGAAATCTTCTCTCAGCGTGCACGTACGTTTTCTCCTTTTCTTTTCATCGAAACGTACATTAAGATGCAGGGAATATATTTTCATTTATGAGACTGTATGAATATTTAATATATAATATTTGACTATTATGATTATGCTTAAAAATCTGAAAATGCATAAACCTATTAATATAATGATAAATATTTTAAATTTGTTTATGATAAAAAAAAATACTTTTTATACCAAATACTATTATGATCTCGTAATTTTTGATCCACATAATCATTTCAAATTGTTTCGTGTAACATACATAAAATGCAAGTGTCCCGATTTTCTTAATCTTACTGTTAATTCTTAATCCTTGATTCTGCCATTACATACTGAGTGAAATTATGTTCAAGACTTCTTATTCGTGCTTCTTTCGACACACATCTGCAGTGAAAGTTTGATAACCCAGTCATCCGCTTAGTTTTACGACCGAAACTTTTCTTGCAAAGCGACGTCCGGACTCTTAACTAAGTTTATGATCACCGGTACAATATCAAATTAGGAAACTCCACCGTGCAGCCCTTCAGATCGAGGGTGTGCCCTGATTCAGGAATATTTTAGGCACGTTTCAAGGAAAGTGATGCGAGTCACCGATAAGAATGACCAAATAATAACAAGTTCGATTCAGCTCTACCTATACAGAATACAAAATTACCACTGTATATCAAGTAGAAATTAGTTCTCTATGTAACATATGGCTCTTTCAGAAACCAGATTGATTAATCGCTCTTCTTGTTTTTACTGAAATGCGTACACGATTAACCGAATTTGTCGAATTTGTCCCTGGAAACGGGAATAATTCAGAGACAAAAAGTGAAAAGATTAATTTTCAGAAATAACGTGAGAAATTAATTGTATTCGTCTACGTATGAAGTATGTTGGACAAAAGATACTAATCACGGATCCTGTTATTAAATTTCGTCGTCATTCCAGAGACATAATATTTTGAAGATAAGGACAGTGTACTTTCACGCGCTAAAACAATATTCGAAGGAAATATTCAGTCAGATGCTTTTGACAAAGAGCACGAAATTTGTTAACTCCGAACGTTCACTGTTCCAGTGATTTACAGAGGGGAACGTTTGCCAAACAGATGCCTCGTGCGATAAACTTCCCTTATAGATGCGTTTGATTTATCTCGAGGACGGACCATTTGCTCCTCGCCAAAAACGAGCTGAACTATTTTTCACTAACAAAAAAATCTCACTTAACGTGCTGCAAAAAGAAGATACGTATATCCATCATGCAATATTATAAACTCGTGACTATGACAGAGATAAACGATTCAAAAGACTATCGTTAAAAAGTATATCCCGCAAAATATATTTCTAGTCAAAATGATAACGGTCTCCATAAAATCTAAAACATTTTGTCATATATTAAATTTTTATTCTTCGCACGTACGAACTAACGTAAAATCAAAAGAAAGACTTACGACATATATTGTACAGAGAATACATATTCGATCTCTTCCTTCTTCCTTCATTTCCGTAAAAATAAATATCTCCGTAGTCTAACAATTACACCGGAGCAAAACTGAAAGCTGAAGGAAATATCGACCCTGACGGAATGTCAAGTGCCCGTACCCTTTCCCGTAGAATCGCCAAAGTCAAAATTACTCGACGCGGATTAAAGTCCCTGCAACTTTATAAAAGGGAGTGCCCCCAATTGCCTAATCTAAATTTCAACGAATATACAAGAAAGAAAGAAAGAAAGAA